GCTTCAAGGTGCTAGTCGTTACTTTAAAGCCCTGGCTACCTGAGAGACCGCCTCCTGCCATTTACCTCCCAGAGACCTATAATATCACACAGATTAGGCCTCCTCCGGATTCCATCTGCTGGTCAATGTCGGCTGGTGACTCCCCGGGGGAGGGCCTTCTCTGTAGCTGCTCCGGCCCTATGGAACGATCTTCCCGTGGAGATCCGGACCCTTACTACCCTTCCGCAAAGTGACCAAGACCTGGCTGTTCCAGCAGGCCTGGGGCTGTTGATTTATCCAGCCCCATCCTAAGCTATGAATGTTGTAGAATTTTAATGTTGTTTTTATTTTTGTATGTTTCCCCTTTTTATCTGTAAGCCGCCCTGAGTGTCTCGAGAGTGGGCCGCATACAAACCCCATAAATAAATAAATAAATAAATAAATAAATAAATAAAAAGATGCGCATTGTACATAATTCAGCAGGTGGCCTACTTTGCCTATTATATTTGAGATGGCATAGCAGAAGAGGGAATACTAAACCAGAGTTAAGAGTTTTTCCTAAAAGCTGTAATACAAAGTACAGGACTTTTCAAAGTCAGTCCTTGGCATGTCCAATTAAAACTTGTAGGAAGAAAAGAATGTATCTCTTGGAATTTCATTCCTGCTATGATGCCCTTTTGAACAGGTGGGAAGATAAATCAGATTAAAGGTTTCCTTTCAGTGCTGTTAACTGAGCTGGAAGGGTTAATACTGCTTCTGTGTTAAGAGGTTTCTGCATACATTTCTTGCCAGTTACCGTGCTGCAAAAAAAAAATAAGTCATGTTACATGTCTTGACAAACCAGATCATTTTTATGAATTTCTTGGCACAGCAAATTTCAAAAGAAGTTTCTGAAATGGAAGAAGAACTCGGTAGCACAGAGGTTATGTTACAAGAGTTGGAACGTGAGAACGTAGAGATGGAACAGTATTTGGAACGGTGTTCAAATCATTTTGATTTGCAAGGCTTTAAGGCAACAATAAAGCAAAATACTGAAAAGTTTCGGTCCATCAATCAATTTCTACAGCCCAAAGCTGAGGTACGAAATGCAGGTTTGAAACATGTAGCAAAAATATTACTGTTTGTGTTTTTTTAAGATTGCTCACGGAGATAAGGCTGTATATGTAGTTGCATGTTTCTTTTAGTTTTAATAATCCAAAGCAACTTAGATTATTGGGCATGTTGATCTAGAGCTATGATGGGGAACACTCATGCCATGGGTAGCATGTGGAGCCATATCTGAAGGCACGTGTAGCGTAGCCCTATGTCAGCTCCAGCAAACGTGCATATAGGCCAGCTGATTTTCGGCCTTCCGGAGGGCGGGGAAAGGTGGTTTTCACCCTCCCCAGGCTTCCGAAAAGCCTCCGGAGCCTGTGGATGGTGAAAAAAGGCCCAACGGAGCTACCGGAAGTCCAGAGGCTTCAATGAGGCATGCACGTATGTGGGGGGGGGAGGGGGGTTGTGCGCACATTCACCCTGTGGGAGGGCATTGCATTGTGGGTGTGGGCACACACATGCACGCTATCACACACGCACACAACCTTTTGGCACCTGAGCAGTAAACCGCTCACCATCATCTAGAATACTGATGGTTAACCTTTTTGGTGCTGAGTGCCGAAAGCGCGCATGAATGCATGTACGTGTGCCCCAATCCCCAAACTGCAATGTGAGAGCCCCCTGCAAAGCTGCCCCATCCCCACGCATGTGCACACATCCCCTGCTCTTGCACTCTGTTCCCGCCCCCCGCCCCCGTGCATGCAACCATGCACCCCCCCCATGCTCCATTTTAGCTTCCAGGTTGGTGCACGCGGCAGAAATGGAGTAGAAAGGCAGGGCGCTGGGAGGCGAACCTGTGGAGATCAGGGAAGGCTCCACCCTCCACACATGCATGGCAGAGACCCGAAGACCAGCTGGGCGGTAGGAGACACATGCACGGTGGAGGTGGGCTGGGATGACAGCTGGCGTGCTAGCAGAGAGGGCTCTGTGTGCCACCTGTGGCATGCGTGCCATAGGTTCACCATCATGGATCTAGAGTTTGCAGAAACTGTGTTTTGAAGTAATTGGATTACTCTATGTTAGAGATAGCAATGTAACGTACCTGCCCCAACATTTATTGTTGCCTTTATATTACAGCCCTATTTTCAAGCTAGATCTGCGGTGGAAGCCATAAACACCAACTACTGCAAAGAGATCGATGCTACTCTGAAAGCATGTAAAGAAGAAACAAAGGAACTGATTTTACAGTTAGATGTGCTAAAGAAAGGGCAAATGTCCTGTTCTGTTCTTAATATGGCAGTAAAAGAAGAAAACCGTAACCTAGGGTGTAATCTGAAAGCAACAGAACAAGATACAAAGGTGTGTTTTTTGTTAAACTCTGTTTAGCACCTTAGTCTGATGTCTCTTTGTTTGCCTAATTTGATTAATGCTTAGTTCTTTGCAACTTTTCCTGGTATGCCATTTATTCAATTTCTATTTAGTCTCTGCTTTCCCAAATGGAGTAGAATAGAATTCTTTATTGGCCAAATGTGATTGGAGACACAAGGAATTTGTCTTTGGTGTATATGTTCTCAGTATACATAAAAAGACAAGATACATTCATCAAGAATCGTAAGGTACAACACTTAATGATAGTCATAGGGTACAAATAAGCAAACAAATCATNCGGCTAGGTTGGCAGAAGCTGGGACAAGTAACAGGGGCTCACTCCATTATGCGGTGCTAGGAATTCGAACTGCCGACCTTTCTGATCAACAAGCTCAGCCACTGAACCACTGCATCCCTAGAGATGGTAGCCCATGTTAAACAAGCCAGGTTTTGTGCAACCTTTGAGAGCTGACCAAATTTATCGTAAAGTTAAAGTTTGCTTACAGAGTAAAGCTAAAGTGGTCTACTTATCCCAAGATAAATGACTAAACTCAACTAGATTTTGAGCACTTATGTTCTTTTAGTAATAGTGATAGCACTTAGACTTATATACCACTTCACAATGCTTTACAGCTCCTCAATTCGCAGTTTACAGAGTCAGCCTATTGTACCCAACAATTTGGTTCCTCACTTTACCCACCTCAGAAGGATGGAAGATTGTGTCAACCTTGAACCGGTCAGGATCAAACTCCTGGCTATGGGCAGAGTCAGCCTCCTAATACTGCAGTTTAACCACTGTACCACCACAGCTCTTAATTAACTTCTTCATCTTCAACAGTACTTTTTTGCCTGCTTGTGTGACAAAAGAAAAGAATACTATACAAACGTCAGCCAGTACACAAGGGAGCTGCTTGATGAGCGAAGAAATCAACATGCACTGCTAATGCAAATGCAGCAACTTGGAAAGCCTCACTTGGAACAGCAGGGAGATGCATCCCAGCAGTTTGGTGTCTCTGGACTGATCCAGAGCTTGGATGGTCTCACAGAGGTAATGCTTTTCCAAAGGTTGTCTGGCTGGGGCTGGGGCTGGGGCTGGGGCTGGGGCAAGCGACATTGCTATATCTCCAAGCACCATTTCCAAACCCTTCCCTCACTTAAACTACAGTTCAAAATAGCCCAAATAGCATGTGTTTGGAAAATCTCACACAGCCTCACAACATTTGGATAGGGAAGCATCTACACCATTACATAACAGAACCTGAAACATTTGCTATCCTGTGTTGTGGGCTGTGGTAATAATTTCCATCATCTGCTAATTAATTTTTTTTATTTAATTAGAAAATGTACATTTGTTGGTTATCTATATATACTGCATAGAAAAATGTGTGTGTGTTTGTTTGTTTTCTGGAGCGCCTCGAGCAATTTCAACCAAATTTGGTACACAGATGACTTACTCTCTGAAACAAATACTGTGGGTGTAAGACACCCCTCGGGGTGTCTGTATCTGTGTGTTCCAGCATAACTCTGGAATGCCTGGGCCGCTAAAATCAAAAGGAAATGAATTATATCTATAGTTTCAAATCACAGTACTTTTGACAGTGATAGTGTGCATTTTGGATTCAAGTTCGGGTATGTGTCTGTGTGTGTGTATGTTCCAGCATTACTTTGACTTGGCACTATAGGTATAATTTATTCCTTTTCCTGCCTAAGACAAGATTAGCTGGGTAATGCCGGGTTATCAGCTAGTACAATAAAAACAATAACCCTGCAGCCCCCTGGCAACAGCAATCAGTCAAACAAGCCACTTGATGGGATCTATCCCACTCCGGGTTCCCCAGGCCCATTGGAAAAACCAAGGACTTCAGAGCCTTGTGAAACAGTGTCAAAGTGGAGGCCAGTCTAATCTCTGCAGAGATGATAATAGCAATAGCATTTGTTTTAGACTTATATACTGCTTCACAGTGCTTTACAGCCCTCTAAGCAGCTTACAGAGTCAGCATATTGCCCCCAACAATTTGGGTCCTCATTTTACAAACCTCAGAAGGATGGGAGGTTGAATTAACCTGGAGCCTGGTGAGATTTGAACTGCCAAATTGCAGGCAGCTGGCAGGCAGCAGAAGTAACCTGCCGTACTGCACTCTAGCCACTGTGGCTCCGAGTTACGGTTAGTCTTTAGAGCCGTTTCCTGGAGACTCATGTTCCAGAAGCCAATAGACTACTAAGGTTGATACCTAAAGATTCTGCCTTTGATCCACCATAATACTGTATAATGCCATTCAAGGTCTTTCGGAAATCAGTGAAGGACTAACAGTCACTGGCTTTATTTATTTATTTATTTGCTATTACTTTCTCATCTAGATTCGAAAGGAAAAATACTTAAACTTCATGGAAGACAGGTTATTAACAAAGTCAAATCTTTTTACCTTGATGTAATAATAGATGCTGTCAATACTGCTTTTCTTTTCAAGAGAGCTCAGGGCAGTTTCTGAGAGAAGTATAAGACACACCTTTTTCTCTCAAAAAAGAGGCTGAAAATTTGGGTGTGTTTATACATTGAATACAGCATTTTTTGCCTCCCGAAACCCCGTCACCAAAATGGCTATGCAAAGCCTCTAGGAAACTTTCAGAGTGCTCCTGGGGGCTGGGGAGGGCAGAAATGAGCAAAAAACGGCCTGGTTTTTGCTCAGTTTTAAACCCAGCCCCTAGGAGCATTCTATAAGCCTCCGAAAGGCTATCCATGCCCTTTAAAAAAAAAACAGGCCCGTTTTCATGAAAAATGGGCTGTTTTGGGGAGGTTTGTAGAGTGCAAAAACTTTTTTTTTAAAATTTGCCTCTTCAAAACCTTGGTGCGTCTTATACTCCGAAAAATATGGTAAATGAAATCATCATAGAAAAAGTTGCATATTCCATTTGACAAAACCAAAGATCTGCCAGTCAATGTCGGCTGGCGACTCCCCGGGGGAGGGCCTTCTCTGTAGCTGCTCCGGCCCTATGGAACGATCTTCCCGTGGAGATCCGGACCCTTACTACCCTTCCNGCTCTCTTCCAATTCCGGAGCTGTCCCAAATTCAGCAGCTTCATTAGCTGCGTTTCTGTCGCCGTACAAAAAAGGCTATTCCTGGATCTTTCAGGGACTTTGCAGTGTCCCTGAGATCAGCAGGAAGTACCCTTGTCAATCACCGTCTCTACGGGACAGTTTAGGTCCAAATGGACCGTCCAGCGGCACCAAGATCGCACAGTGTGCCGTCACGACGTCAGCTCTCCACCCGGGAAAAACCTGTTCTTGTGTCTAGTTGTTCTGGTGTGCAGTGCCCTATAGCATCATTTTGAGGGTAGAAGTTGAAACAATTTATGTCCAGGATGTGAGGGTCTGTATATATTTTCACATCCCTCTTTTTGACTTGTGCAGTATACAGGTCTTCAATGGAAGGCAGGTTGGCACTAATCGTTTTTTCTGCAGTTCTGATTATCCTCTGAAGTCTGGGTCTATCTTGTTGGGTTGCAGAACCAAACCAGATAGTTATAGAGGTGCAGATGACAGACTCAATAGAAGATGTTCCCATATCCAAATCTAGTTCTTAAACAGGTTTCCTGACAGAATAAGTTTCATCCAACTTTTCTAATTGAAAAGGGCAGATGGTAGAAAATTTGGTTCATCAGTGTGGTAGATTTTGATAAATCATGACAGTTCGATTTAAAAGAGATCTATAGAATGATGCTTTTAAATCTATGGTTGCAGGAAACATGACATTGGTCATTCTGCCATGTGAAAACAAAAAAAGAGTGTTTTCCCAATAGATGTATAAAATGGCACCGGGTTACTTCTTATAAATGAGGAAGCATCGTTTTGCAATTAGTTTTGTTTATATTCATCCTCCTCTTTGATGCTATGGCTCTTACTATTCTAATAGAAAGTCTGTTTTTCTGACCATTTTCACTGTTTTCAGACCATATTCTTCTTATAAAAAGCCTAGCATTCAAAATATTGGAGTTCTTATGAATGATCTTTAGAGCTTCTGTTCCAATTAACTATGCAAGTTTCAGAGTTATCGCTAAGAACAGCTAAACCTTTTCTCCACCTTTGAAAATAAAATCTGGAAGAGCTGTGTTCCATTTTCTAATAACACAACTTTCTTTGTTCAAAGAATCTACAGTTGAAAATACAAGATCTAGAAAGCATAATAAATGAAGAAAGAAAAAATCTCCAGGAAAAGGAGAAAACAATAGCCATACTAGAAATGAAACTTAAAGTGAGAGGTTCCAGGAGCGAAGTCATCAAGCTTCAAGCTGCATTAGAGGAAAAAGAAAATTGCTTAAGAAATGCATTAAGTGAGAGAGAAACACTCAAGGTATTGTATGCATTAACATAAGTGACTTCTTTGCTTTGATGTTTCATGTTGGGAGCAAAATATTTATTCATGGGATTCACATGACACCAGTAATGTTTTCCTCTTATCTTTGTTACCGCTTTGGAACCGGGAGTAGCTCGCGGTGCTTCTGCGCATGCGCAGAACGTCTGCGATGGCAGGTGGGCAGGGCCTTCCGCCGCCGCTGCTACTGGTTCTCCCGAATAGGGGCGAACCGGCAGAACACTACCTCTGCTTCACACCTTCTCTCTGCAATTCCTATATAAAACTCATGTAATGTTTTTCTGGGCTGCTGGACACTGAAGGCAAGTTTACACAAAAGGAGCCATCAGCTCACAATGCTATACTTCCTCCAAGCCTTGCCCTGCCCCGCTGCGTGCGGCTAAAAACACTCCTCCTTAAAGAAAATTAAAGTCCTCTACAACTTTGGCCTCTAGTTTTATGCAATTCAGTCATTTTTGCGGAATGAAACCATAGAAGCACAATTTCCTGCAGATCAGTTAGGGCACCAACTGATTTGACAGGGTGATAACTCTGATCTCTTACTAGATCCAAACCTCCTTTTGACAATGGTCCTGACATTATTACTTTGATCCGAAGCGAGATGTAATGTTCTTATTAAAAAGTCCATCATCTAATCTGTAAATACGATTTCATTTTTCTAAAGTGCCTATTGGGCACTTGGAAATATGCAACTGTTGTTTTCCCCTTCTCACAAGATCATGTTTTGTTCCCTTGCTAGGCCCAAGTGGATAAAGGTGTTGGATTATATAAGGAGAAAATTGAAGACCTGACAACTCAGCTTGCTAAAGCTGATATGGCAAGAATGAAGCAATCCAAATTGTTTGATCGAGAGTAAGTTCCATTTCATTGAAAGAAAATTTTATGAAGCAATAGACTCCACATTCAGACAGACCATTATCTAAGAAATGGAGCATTAATCCAATACCTCTTTGCACCCTGGAGAGCTCCCTTGAGATGGCATCTCTAGGACTTCAAGGTGTTGTTTTTTTTTAAAGAAGAATGCCGATATTTTTTCATGATGTTGGTCTACTCACCTGAAATTCTTCAGGTGAACTTCCCAAATCTCATAACATCTCAGCTATTTTAAAGATTCCTTTTAATTTCTGAACCTGAGCCACTAAGTAGAAGACCTTTGCAGACCAGGTGTTGGGAATCAAGAACTTAGGACTTACCTGTTCAAGAGTGCAGGAACAGCTTAGGAGAAGTATTGTGCTACTGCGCTTTTAAAAAAATAATTCACAGTCCCAAATTGTTCTGCATCCTCCATTCACAATCATTGTAGACTATTACGATTGTATAACTGTAGACTAAGGTCATTGATTAATTCAATTTAAAACTGAATCTTCACTATTCTAGAATGGCAAATGCCAAAGCTCTGGCAGATCATCGGGAAGAGCAGTTAAGAAAGTTGAAGGAAGAACTTCGTAAAGCTCAACAAGAACAGGATATAACGGGTAAATACAAACCAGAGTGTTATCTCTTGGCGGTATGACAGTGGTTCCCAAACTTGGCAACTTTAAGACTTGTGGACTTCAACTCAGAATTATTGCCAAGTTTGGGAACCACTGCTCTATGACATGGGCTTTTAAGGTACAACGTTACACAAATGATAGCCAAGCAGGAAAATACTTTCATTTTTCAAACTCATTCTTTCATGTGTTCCAAAAGTGCAAAGAAATACTTTCAGGGCTATTTTGACAAAATCCTGCTTGAATATATTTCTGTAGATACATTTCCATCAGTGCTATCTCCTTTTAATCACCTCAGTCATTTAAAATCATAAAAGCTGGAAGCCTCAAATCCTGTGATAAAATCCCCAACCCGAACCACAGTCTCTTGAATATGTGATCCCAAATTATACCATGTCATGAAATGAGGTGATTTTGAAAAAAGTTGCGAAAGATGTTTGGATAGTGATGTTGTCATTGGCAAAAGGCTCACCATGCTGGACCTTCTCCTTTTCAGTGACGTCTAACAAAGACCTTCCTCAGTCATTTCTACCAATTACTTGTGGTGGCGGTAGTGGAATTGTACAGAATACCCATATGCTAGTGTTAAAATCTGAGCATGCAAAGCTGGAAAAAGAATACGCTCAATTCAAGAAAGAACATGACCTCCTGTTGTCGTAAGTCATCATATTCTGCCCGGAAACACAGCTTACAATGGTTGTGCATGTATGAATTTTTCATAGAGAACAGATAGATACAGTATATCTAAAACAGGTAGGTTTCTGCTGGTTCACCCCAGATCGGGCGAACCGGTAGTGATGGCGGCAGGAGGCTCTGCCCACCGTGCACAGAAGTGAGCATGAGCACCAGGGAACTGGTAATAAAATAAATTAAAACCCATCACTGCTGTAAAAGATAAATAAGCTGTCCACACATTTGAAGATATTCGCCTGGCAAGATTGTGGGATTGATGATTAGCTTTGTCTTGCGTCCCAGTTTTATCAGACCTTTGGGGTTGTTTTGAATTGTTGGCTTCTGTTGGGGGGGGGGGGATAAAAGATTACTGGAAAAAAGCAAAGGCTTTAGATTTTAGATCCCGCTTCATGGTCT